CGTTTCTTTATCCTCACAAATACAAAATAAAAATGTTGAAAATAAAACTGTGAAAAAATGAAAAAGACTTGAAACTGAGAAAAATACAATTATAAAGATTTTACTACGTGAAAAATCTTCGGTAATGTTTTCAAAATGTTGAAAATATTTTTGAAGATTTTTTTCATTTGGCACTTTGTGACATACCATAAAACAGCAGTTATCATTTTTGTGAATTAAAGTAAGGAAATAAAACTTGTCAGAGAAATGACAGAAATCAATTAATTCCAGAAATTAAATATTTTTAAGGCATTTAAATGTTTAAGTTAAAGTTTTATAAAAACATGTTTGTTTTAAAATTGGGCTAACAAGCTTCTCGCCTCAATTTATGTGATTAATTATTGTATAAATAATATTCTGTTCATGATGTTGTAAACATATTTAATTTGTTATAATTGATAAATGATATCAATATTTATCTGTGCATTTGCTGATTATCAGAAGATAAATTATGTCTGAATGTCAAGATTACATTTGAGATTTTAGTTACCAGAAATAAAAACCATCGAAGCAATCTGTGAGTTTGTAGAGGAGCTGCTAGCATGTAGCATGCAGCATATAGCATGTAGAATGCAGCATATAGCATGTAGCATGCAGCATGTAGCATGCAGCATATAGCATGTAGCATGCAGCATATAGCATGTAGAATGCAGCATATAGCATGTAGCATGCAGCATATAGCATGTAGCATGCAGCATATAGCATGTAGCATGCAGCAGCAGCATATAGCATGCAGCATATAGCATGCAGCATATAGCATGTAGCATGCAGCAGCATGTAGCATGCAGTATATAGCATGTAGCATGCAGCAGCAGCATGAAGCATGCAGCATATAGCATGTAGCATGCAGCAGCAGCATGTAGCGTGTAGCATGCAGCATATAGCATATAGCATGTAGCATGCAGCATATAGCATGTAGCATGCAGCATATAGCATGTAGCATGCAGCAGCAGCATATAGCATGCAGCATATAGCATGTAGCATGCAGCAGCATGTAGCATGCAGTATCTAGCATGTAGCATGCAGCAGCAGCATGTAGCATGCAGCATATAGCATGCAGCATGCAGCATATAGCATGTAGCATGCAGCATATAGCATGTAGCATGCAGCAGCAGCATATAGCATGCAGCATATAGCATGTAGCATGCAGCAGCATGTAGCATGCAGTATATAGCATGTAGCATGCAGCAGCAGCATGTAGCATGCAGCATATAGCATGTAGCATGCAGCATATAGCATGCAGCAGCATGTAGCATGCAGCATATAGCATGTAGCATGCAGCAGCATGTAGCATGCAGCATATAGCATGTAGTATGCAGCAGCATCATGTAGCATGCAGAATGTAGCCTGTAACATGCAGCATGTAGCATGTAGCGTGTAGCATGTAGCATATAGCATGTAGCATGCAGCAGCATCATGTAGCATGCAGAATGTAGCCTGTAACATGCAGCATGTAGCATGTAGCGTGTAGCATGTAGCATGTAGCATGTAGCATGTAGCGTGTAGCATACTGCATATGTATCCTGGTTCCATCAGTTCAGTGATGAGCTGCGGCTCCAGGAGTTTTCAGCGACTCTCCATCCTGTCGGCCGTTCTGCCTCGGATCCGGCGGAGGTCACGGCTCCCACTTTTAATCACTGCAGTAATCAGAGCAGAGCAGCAGCGCTGATTGCAGCTGCCACTCCGCCGATGTTCAGAGGCAGAAAGTGACTCTTCTGCTTGCCGACAAGGACTGAGGATCATCACCTTTCAGCTAACGCACACAAACACTCTTCATCCTGATGAGGAGACAGGAAAGTCACCTCAGAGCTTCATCGTTACTAACACTTGATCTACAATCAGTAAGAAATCACTGAACTGGTTTTAAAGCTGCTGGGTTCCTGCTGGTTAAATCCACCAAATTAAAAGAAACGTAAATAGATGTTGTGAATGCAGCTTGGTAATCGGCTCAGATGAATCAGTCTCTGCTTCATCATCTCTGCATATTTTTTCTATATTATACATGATATTTCTGGAATTTCTGGTTGTATTGTGCATTACCTCGTGTTATAAGGCAGTGGTTGCTTCCCACTGTCACCACATGCTTGCTCAGGAGAAGAAATCCCAGCAAAAACCATGACTTGATGCAGCTGTCTTTGACTTTCTGCTGGTCATTTTTAGGATTATTATTTATTTTACCCAACATGTTTGGAGAACAGAACCAATTTCAGTTTGAGTTTTAATTCATTTTCATGGTGTTTTAATGGATTTTTAACCAATAAATGAGTTTCTTATTTTCAATTCAGCTCATATTCTTACAGCAACCAGCAGGGGGCGTCAGAACCCAACAACAACAACGCTGAACCTCTGCTGTTTCCTCTATTTTAACCCTCAACCAACAACCTTTCATCATTGTATAAAGTAAGTCACATCAACAGACCATAAAACACTTCAGTCCTTTTCAGGCAGTTGGACTTTTCATCACTTGTCACCAAATGATGCAAATGATTCATAAATTCAGCAAAGTGTTTTGCTAAGTTGCAGATGATTTTTTATATTTTACTCAGCAAACGGTGCAGCTGCAGACAGCTGGAAATATTGAGCACATCTGTCCAAACAAGTTCATTTCTACTGTTCCAATAATGAACCTTCAAACTTTTCTGAACCTCCAGACAGAAAACAGAATCCTCTGACAGAAATGATTTTCTTTTTTCTTCACATATTTGACCTTCTGGAAAGGAGCATCTATAATTTAAAACTACTTCACAACCTTGTAGTTTTCTAAAAGTTGGGAAAATATATTTGAAGGTTATTGATGACAGTTGATGACACAGAGGTTGCTCTGTGTCATCTGGATTAAATCCTGATTAAATCAGGATTTAATCCAGATTCTACAAAGCAAGGAAACGTTTGTAAAGGTTTATAAAGATTATTGGCATAATTAAACTGCGATTAAATAAATCATTAAACTGCGATTAAATAAAGCATCACATCAAATGCAGAAGTGATGCTTTTGGTGATGCTAATCAAAAACAGGATCAGGTTCAGATCTGCAGTTTTCAGAAACACGATGGCTGAGCTTCATGTTTCTGATGAGGGTCAGTTCACAGCAGAGAAGCTTTCCTGCTTTAACACCAAGGAGACAGAGACGTATCCGACTGAAAGGACTGAAATAATCCGTCCATTCATCTGTTAAAATGGTCTTAAATGGTCAGACATGACTAGAAAAGTAAAGCCGCCTGAGGCCATGAGAGGCAGAGACATGGACCCACCATAGGCTGACAGCGATCAAAAGCCGAATCACATTTGACACAAAAATAAAAAAAAAAACAACAAAGAAGCCCCGCTTGTTTGACTTGTTTTTGTGATTTTTTGTGGCCTCCTCTGATGTCCTTTTGACCAAACTTTAATAAATGATGGTGCTCAGCCTCAGGACTCTCAGTGAAAAACAAGGTGACATATTTGTCGCTGATCGATCCAGACTGGGCGGAACGGCGCGTTTTCTTTGCCTCAGTTCATCCTCCCGGCCCAGGCAGACATTTGGCAGCGGTCTCTGGAGGAAGGAGCTGGGATCTGTGCGGACGCCTGAGCTGAATGAGAAGGAGCTGGCGGCCGACCACCGGGTGTCAGCGGGGGGTTAAGCCGTGACCCAGATTCCTGCAGGAGTCTTTGTCCTGCAGCCGGGAGAAGATCCTCCCCACCGGCTCCTCCGAGAGACACAGAGACACAACGAGCTTCTGTCCCGGAGGAGCCAGCGATCGGCCCGTTCCCGTCGTCACATCGTTCAGAAAGCCGTTAACATTTAAAGGTTAAAGGTTATTCTGATTAAGACTCATTATGAATTAATGGACACATTGACATCGTCTCATCTGAGTCCAGATCTGACCTCAGGTCCATAATTACAACTTCATCACCTCAACCTGGTGACACACTGACCGGTACGATGGAAACCCACAGACCACCAGCAGCTGGTTTACGTACAGATGTGCAAAATGTTGTCAATATTCCATCAACGTAAAAAAACAAACAACTTGGCAATTCTTGTTTCCATTAAATCAGAAACATGATTAATAAGTTTGTTCACTGGATGAGTCATTAAAATATCATCATCCTCGTGTCACTTCCTGTCGACTTCCTGCTGACTTCCTGTCACTTCCTGTCGACTTCCTGCTGACTTCCTGTCGACTTCCTGCTGACTTCTTCGTCTTTTCCTTCAGTAGTAACATCCTGCTGTTGATCACATAAAAAATAATTTTTCATGAAATGATTTTTTTTCATTTCATGAAAAATGAAATTCTGTGAGAAGTCGGAGTCTCACAGAGACTGATTTCTCACTATTTTGCAGTTTTTCCAAATATATTAATATTGGTTCTCCAGGAGCTGAAGCTCACCCCATAAAAACTCTTGAAAAATGTGAACTTTTGTTCTAAATGATTCTGTTTATTGTTGTAATTCCAGTTTGCCTGATTTGCAGCTGGTCCTGCACTGAGGAAGTTTCTCTTGGCTTCCGTTGAACCAGATTCAGAGGCTGATGATGGACATTAGTGAAGTTTTAATAACCATAAACAAGGAAAACTTACAGATCATCATCACAGAAGAGATTAACAGAAGAATCCAGAGAGGAAAAATGAAACAAAAGCAGAATCCAGATACTTTACTGTCTCCATGAGTCGCTCTGCCTGGACCAGACTGGAGCGGATCATGAGGATCTGAAGCCGCCGAATCGACAAATGATTGTGGATCAAATTGATTCCCACACTTTGTGTTGCTTGTTACAGAGAGTCGTAGAGAGATATAGATTCACTAGAGAACCTGAGAGTCACGATTCGGATGGGTGGGAACCGTTCCCTGAACGGATCCAGTTTGGGATTCAAAGCCGGTGGATTCCTGCTGCAACCCAACATGCAGCTCCTGCGAGGAAACTGGAGAACAAACAGCTGAAAGTTTGAATTATTGTCTGTGTGGCCAATAAAGACACTGTTGTTGTTTTCTCACAGATGCTTTCTGACGGGGGCAAATGTGGGAGGGTTTCTCAGGGCAGTTCTTCCAATAGCCCCCCTGGGCCTCCTCTTTCTCCCGCTCCTCCTTTATCCTCGTCTCCTGCCCTCTTTTATCCGAGAGTCTGCGGCCCCACGCTCTCACAGAGACTCCGACCTCTCAGCAGCATCAAGGGTAAGAAACGGCTACAGCTGCCTCTGCGTTCAGAGCCAAACCTTCCCGGCGCAGACAGAGTTATGACTTCTTAACGAGGGTCAGAGAGGATTATTATTCAGCTGCTGCTTGTCTTTGTTTGACATCTGGTAGCTTTCTCTCCTCAAACGTTTATTCTTCACGGCAGAGAAACTGAGAAACTCTAGAAATGTTTTTGATTGTAAAGATGCATTTTGTTTTGATTTTTCAGTTTTGTAGAATAAATTTCATCTCAGTGGGAGGGAGGAACTGCTCTGGTCTGGTTCTGACTCTTTTGTTGTACTTTAACTTCCTGAATCTGCTGAAATGAATTGAAGATAAACTCTTAACTATAATCATTTCCAGTAACTTTTACACTAAACTGTAACATTCAATGTTCTGGTTGGTCCATTATTTTCTGTAAGTATTTTTCTCAGTGCATCATTTATTTGGTTGCAGTTTCACTGCATGAAGTCTTTTATAGGATTAGGAGTTAGGGTTAGGGGTTAGAGGTTAGGGGTTAGAGGTTAGGGGTTAGAGGTTAGGGGTTAGAGGTTAGGGGTTAGAGGTTAGAGGTAGGGTTTAGGGTGGGCGTTGACTCCATTACTGATTTAGTGTTTGGGATCTTGTTGCAGTGGGTTCCCCATGTGTCTGTGGTTGGGTTAGAGTTTTGAGGTGTGGTGGTTCATTCGGGGATCCTGGGTGGAGTCGGCCATCTTTAGAGATCTGAAGACTCGGTCCTAGATGAGGAACCCAACTGGCAGGGATCGAATCGCGGCTACGCCATGATTCTAGTTACATCCTCCCCGTTGCTGTTCCCCATGTGACCGATAGGAACGGACATGCGGCAGTAGAAAGGGTTCTCACAGGCCTTCCCTCAGTCTTTGCCTCAGACAGAGGAGGGAAAGTATCTTAGTGATGGCGATTTGGTTCAGGTGTCTGAGGTAAGGTGGGTGATACTTCTCTTTAAGAAAGGACACAGGATCATGGATTCGGACGTTCCTTTGTTAGTTTGACGTTGTTCCCTCCATTTCCTCTGCAACCTGCATGATGAGGCAACAATCACTGACCCTCCTCCAACTGGCAACTGGGGCGTTTGGAGACAAACACACATTGTTCAGCCATGTGTAACAACAATGGTACATCTTTGTTGCTGTCATTGCTTTCTCTTGCCATGTGTTGCTTTCATCTGGTTGGCAGAAACTTTGGCCTGTTGCTGCTCTTGAGCAAATGATGGAGCCGAACAGCTGCAGCTGTTTGGGCATCTGATTGGGTCGCCACCTGGAGGAGAAGCTGAGGCAGATCCAGAACTTTCTGGAATCCCCAGAATCAGTCAGAGATCATATCTGAAGGACGAATGTCTTGGATTCGCTGCTGGTCCTCTGACCTCCATGATCTCGGATGAGAGAAAGAAAATGGATTAGCAGGTGGATGAAAACAACATATTTAACCTGAGACATTGTGGAAATAATGTCTGTTTTCAGCTTGTAGCTGAATCCAGACAGAAACCTCCTTAAAGGGGCACTTTGCCTTTAACTGGATCATCCTAATGTCTTAATCCATATTCTAAACCGTCCTGAAGGTTGTGAGGAATCTTTCATGTCTTCAACATGAAGTCAGTTAGCTTAACCACAAACCTCTGTTTAGTTTATGGTGTAAAATACTTGACATCCGGATCACAGGGACTAAAATGGACTGAATGATGCCTGAATCCCAGTATTTAGCTGCACTGAATACTCAGTTTATCTCTTTCTCAACCCAAAGTCACATCAGGTCCTGGATCCTGCCAGGTTGCGGCTAACATACCTAAGCTAACTGAGACATGGAGCTACATGTCTACCTCAGCACCTCAACACCTGAGTCTGGTAACAATCATTGGAGCATTTCTGCAGGGCAGCACAGGGAAAGGTTTGGACCTTCATCACAGGCGCAGTGTGTCCAGTTCTCCGTTAACACATCATGGATATGTTCCCCAACATCCTGCCTCCATGAATATAAACCATGTCAGCCTGAAAACACACGAGTTTCCACCATTAAAACCTTTCAGTCTTTGTCACACGTCACAAAACGCCGCTGAGTTTTTAATCATTCCTGAGGATCTGCAACACTGTTCATGTTTCGGTCAGCTCTTAATGTCTTGTGGGATTTTCATCCTGTTGAACTTTCATCTGTACTTGTTCCAATAGGTGCAAAGGATCAGTGCTTCTGTGCTGTTTAACTTCCAGATCCAGTAACAGAGTGAACCGGGAGAAGAGCGCAGCCTCTCTGAAGGCTCACGTGTTAACTTATCTCTGTCCTCTCAGCCACCATGCGTGCTGCTCTGTGCTGCTGTGTCTTCCTCCTCTGCCTCGTCTTCCTCACCGAGGCCAAGCGGACGCCTGGCCAGGACAAACGGGACAAACCTCGCCAGCCCCAGCCGTCGCCGCCTCCGGCCCGGCGGGCCAGAAACCGATCGGTGCTCAGCTCCGGAGAGCTGAGCACCAAGCAGGGCCATCGCTGCACATGGCAAACATCTGGTGAAGGTCTGGTGAGCCTGCTGGTGAACTGCTCCACAGAAACCGAAGGAGACGCAGAGAGGTGAGGCCAGACGTAGAAACATGACCAAAAGCTCTCAGCTCCATCAGGACCTGAAATCCAATCATCTTGTTGTTCTTGTTTCCAGGTACTGGTGTCGTTATGCTGGTAAACCCGACCTCTGCCAGGCCTACAGCGTAAAGTCCAGCCAGTACTGGAAGCAGCTGGTGGGAAAGCTGAAGAAACGGGAGAACGCCTGCGAAGGAGAGAAAGTGTTAAAGGCCAAAACCTGCAAAAAGGCGTCTGGCGAGGCCCACATGAAGCTGGCGCAGCGCAGCGGGGACGAGGACAAGAACGCAGCGAAGGAGGGAGGCAAGAAGAAAGCAGAGGCTGGAGCGAAGAGCTCCGATGGAGGGAAGGTGGAGAAGAGGAAGAAGGTGAAGGAGGATGAGGAGGAGAAGAGGAAGCGGGAGGAGAGGACTGAGTTTGATGACGAAGGAATGGTGAACGACATGGAGCCGGTGCAGACGTACTGCAGCGACGGCTGGCACTCCGTCTGCTCCTTCTTTGTCAAGTTTTTTGAGGGCTGATTAGAGAAATTAGATTTTTTTATTGATTATAGTGTGAATTAAATCTGAAAGTTGTGTTTTTAACTTTTGGGGAGCAAATCATTTCTGCTCTCTGAAGGTGAGAGGAAAACCAATTTAATTTACGGCTGATGGAGAACTTTTGGTAATTCTGTATATTTTTTAAGGATTAATTGTAGATTTAATACATTAAACATAACTACTCTGTAAAGCATGTTAGTTTGAATCTGCAGTGTTTTTATTGTTTTAGATTCCTGATGTTTAGTTTTGTGATGTTTTTAACCAAATTCTGGATTTTCCTAGACGACATTAAATAATCACCATATTTTCAGTTCATTTAGCCTCTGTGTCTTTAATTTTCTGTTATATTTTCACCCGTTATTCATTCAGTTGTAAATGTGATAGATCCAAACTAAATATTTAAATATTTCCTTTATAAACTAATGAAATGATCGACAGTTTGCAGTGAAGAGGAACGAGTCTGAATCGCACCATCAGTGATATTAAAGTTAAATAAAGTTCACTCTGATTTAAATGTGATCAATAAACCGAATAGTTTAATTCAAATGGGTTTTTCAGGCTGCATCAAAAGTGATTCATTTAGAAAACTCCAATTGAAACACTTTTTTGCATTACATGATCAACAGGATGTTACTACTGGCACAAACTACAAAGAAGACGACAGGAAGTGGTCAGTTTGTCCTCCAGCAGCCTGGAGGACAAACTGATCAGCATAACCAGGATGACGACAAGCTTTATGACCAGGAAGGTTTTCAGTCCAGTATTGAAAGACGTCTGAGGACTCGTCACGTCCCAAAGGTTCATTTGTTGCGTTTCAGCTGTGGATCCTGATCTCGTGTGCCTTTAAATGTGGCTGTTTGCTGCTGAAAGCAGCGACATAAAGGCTCTGCTGGACCCAGAGCGAACGCTTGGGCTGAATCCAGGATGTTGTGTAATGCTGTGTGAACAGCAGCATCGTTGGAGAGCTGTTTACATCCTGGTCATTTCATCTGAATACCAATCAACGGACGCACTTCCTGCTTCAGCCGCGCTGCTGCAGCAGAATCTGCAGTTTTCTGCACCAGGCTTCATTCATCTGAGTGAATTTCATCAACATGTTTGTTTCTGCAGAACAAACGATGAAAGGAAGGACAACAAGGTGAGAACCAAGACCTCCAAACTCCAGTCCCCACATCAGAACCCCGACTCCCACTTCTCATCCTCACAGTGGCCTGATTGTCCCTGACAGCGACACACAGAACCGGGCCCTCCGACCCCAGGAGGAGGCAGCAGGGGTCAGAGACGCTGGCCGCCTGCCGCAGAGGACTCAGGCGCAGCGAGAGTCTGGCAGCCGCTGCATCGCCTCGCTGCAGCTTTTCATGCCCAGCAGTTCTTCCTCCTCCTGGTCTCTGCTGGTACCGACCAGCATGGACCCGGAGGGACGACCTGGTGGGACTCTGTCCTCTGAAGCATTAATTGCTTTTAAACTTAATTCATGCTGGAGAAAATGTAAATAACATCTCCTGTCTTTATTAAAATGTTTATAAGAAACTTCTAACTATGCTTAATTAACAGATAAAATGTGAGGAGACCATCAGCTGCAGGATTAAGCTGCTATTAAACCTTTTTAAAATGTATTATTAGTTGAAATAATCTGCCAAACTAATTGAGTTGATCTTCCTTCTCCCAATGCTAACTAGAAACAACCAATCAGAGCCCGGAGGCGGGGCTTAGCGCTGTCAATCACCTTCATGCTAAGGCTAGTTAGCATCACGGTTTTTATGTATTAAGTAGTTTTATCAAGTTATTAGTACATTGAATTTGTGACTGACTGACGGTTCCGTCTCTGAAAGGAAAGGTTCGGTTCCACATCCCAGTGGATCATCGACAGGTGGGTCACAAAAGGAAACCTTTTAAAATTATACTAAACTTTATTCTTTTACTCCAGAGTAGAAACGTAAAGTTATAAAGTTGGTCTGAAAACCGACAGAAAATCTGTCCTGAAAGCTCCTGGTCGGATTGGATCCAGCTGCTCAAGTTTCTGTACTGAGGTTCAATAATAGAGCAAATATTCACAGAAATATTTATCTGTTTGTTCTTTGATGGCCAAGTAACCCAAAGACCTCCTGGACCAGAACCAGAACTTTCCTGAGACCAACAGAACGTTCTTCTTTTGGGTCGACATCTTTACTGAATCCTGTTGTTGGACCCAAATCTTCTTCTTCAGGAAGCTGCAGCTTCTTGTTTGACACTCAAGAAGTCTCTGCTGCCCCCAGCTGGAGAAGGTTTGTAAGTGCAAGTTGCGCTTTGTGGATGACTTGAAGATCGGATGTGGGTTCGGCTCAGTGAGAATCTATCCAGCATCACATGAGACTGATGGAAATATTTCTGCACTTTATATGAAAAACTCACAATAAACTGTAAAACCAAAGAGAATAAATTACAAATTTCTTTATTATCAAGTTGTTTTGTTGGAAAAACAAGGGTTTTATCATAATAAATCATCTGGATTTATCATGATAAATCATCTGGAAGATGATTGACCCTTGAACTGTGTAAGAAGAGAGTCAGATTGACCTGGTTTAGTTACTAATATTTCAATGGTTGAGTTGAGATCTTAACTCTATTGGTTAAGAAAATATAAACTCTGTGATCAAATCTGTTATATAGTAATTGAACTTAGTGGATATTAATCTTATTGAATTTGTATAATTTTATTTTTATCCACACTGACCTGCTGCCAGCAGAGATCATCATCTGTGCTGTTTCACTCTAATGGTGACAATCTGCAGCTTTCTGTTAAAAACTTCCAAAGCTAATATTCATCTCAACACTTTGCATAATAACTTCAAAACTATATGAATTTTCAGCAGAAAAATAATCTGCAAAGTGTATAAATGATGGAGCCACCAGAGGTCGCTGTTGGATTAGAAATCAGAGGAAACATTTTGAGTTCAAATGAAATAAAAACCCACAGAACTGACTGAAACTTTCCTGTAGGTGAAAAAACCTTGAACAGATAAAATATGAATAATTTTATCTCAGCTTCTTGAAACAACATTAAGTGGTTCTTCAGTAATGATCCATTTCACTGACCTTCAGAACCAGAACCAGAGCCAGAGGAGTTTTCCTGCCATCGTTCCCTGAGAGATAAATGAGTCCAACAGGTTTAATCTACCATAAAACCCACAATCAGACACCAGGCGCTCAGCAGAGCGGATGATGAAACCTTCAGCAGAGGCTCCTCTGGGCCCAGCGGCAGTCGGGTCCAGGCAGGGCGAGGGAATCAGCTCTGCTCCATCAGCTGCAGAAACAGTCCAGGATGTGAACCTGGCCCAGACGATCCCGTCACTCTGAAGGTCGCGAGGCAGAGGAGGCCGACGCAGAACTCTGGGAAATTTGAAAAGAACGCATTTCATCATGATAATGGAGAACATCTGCATGTCGTTTCTATGCAGATGATGTTCAGTTGCATTTCTCACATTTGCAAATGAAGCATCTAAACTCCAGTTTGTTAAAGTTCTTCGACTCTGTTAAACGGGGATGGAGTCAGTTTCCTTCCATGAAGTGAAAACCAAACAGATTGTTGGATCAGAAAAGACGAACGTCTGGATCAGAGACACTCGGATCTATTGGAGCCGTTAATTCTGCTTCAGTTTGATGAACGTGTCAAACCTCAGAAATATTGTCAGATTCAGCTCTATTGCTCCTTGTTCTGAACCGCCAATTATTTTTAGTTCATTTGTTTCATCACAATGTGCAAACCTTCCTGGAAGTGCTGCAGGTTTTCTAGGAGTTAAATGTTCCCAGCAGCAGGTTTTCACAAAGTGAAGTCAGTGACCAGAGGGGGCGCTGCTGCCTCCACCATCTGATCAACACGACCAGGCTGCACTCAGCTCAGTGAGCAGAGGCTGAGTCCATTTCATTTCACTGGTTAGGATTTAGATCTAGACTTTGACTAGACCAATGGTCTGCATCCTGTGACGTCGTTCAGTCTGGTTGATGAACAGTTTATCAACCATTAACTCAGCTGAGCAGAGGAATATCTGAAAGCTGGAGGGATAATCCACTATGAATTATAATCCAGTATGAATTATAATCCAGTATGAATTATAATCCAGTATGAATTATAATGCAGTCCATAATCTGTGGCTGGATGTCCAGGTGTTTTAAGGGTATCAGAGCAAAAGGTTCTGAGTTTAAGTTGAAATATTTCAGATCGTCATCAGGAATTTTCTGATCCGTGTTTCAGTCGCTGATATTCGATCGATGAGGAAAACAAACAACTTGAACTTTGGGAAAGTAAGGATTTTCTTTAAAGCATGCGCTTCCCAGCAGGTTCTGTGTTTATGGTGAAAGTCCAGAAAGCCATGTGGGGTTTCTGTTGAACTCTGATGTTGACCCCTGATGCCGGCCCCTGCATTATCGCCTGATGTTTGCACAAGCAGCAGCTTTGCTCCGATATCAGCTGACGTGTCTGGAGAGAGGCCTGGGACTGGGAATAAAGTGTCCTACTTAAAGCTTAGTGAATGTTTCAGCTGTGTTTGTGGGAATGGGCCTGGCAGGTCTGACAGGTGGAATCTGCTGAAAACCTTCCTGAAGGTCAAACTGGCTGACCAGAGACCAACTGGGATCAGCACCAGTTAAATTATAATCAATATCTGCTTTTTGTAGCACTCAAAACCTCCAACATGAACATAATTATTATTTAACAGAACAACAGCAGCTGTGAAACTGTCAGTCCTGCTGCCATCCTGCAGAACCCGACCAGAATCATCCTGAGCGTGAAAAAGAGAATTTTCACCCAGACTTCTGCTCTGTCTGAACAGATGTTGGTCAGAAATCGGTTTACTGAGACATTCCTGTGCTCAGATTTCTCTGCTGCTGTTGCTTTCATCAGAACCAGAGCATTTCTCCCATGACCTTCAGGACCGATCAGCACCTGAACAGGTGTTTCCATTCCTCACCTGATTGGAGCTTTTCAGGCGGCGCCACGCCCGCGTCCATCCGTCTGTCTGTTGATGCTTAATGGGATCAGACACATGACAGCTGGCTGGTTGTGGTGACAGGATCTGATCTGATGCAGCCAGATGAAAAGTTTAATCGACTGCATGAGAGGAACAAAACGCTTCTGTTGACTCAGTTTGTTTGAATTTCAAATTTGTTGCTGGGAAAAGCTGGAAGTTTTTAAATCCCAGAAGCTTCAGTTCAGAAATAGAGGAAAATCCAAAAGAGCAACGCTGATACTTATTAAAACAAAAACCTGCAGTTTTAACCAGCTAAATGAACAGAGACGGTCGGGTTCATTTTCTTTAACCGGCACCATCCTACAGAAC